AGTGGCATCATAGCTTACAGCAACCTCAGACTCTTGGGCTCAAGCGATTCTCTTGTCCCAGCCTCCTGAGTAGCTGGGACTACAGACACCTACCAAAATGCCTGGCTATTTTGTTGTTGTTGTTCTATCAGGCCTGGGCTGGGTTCGAACCCATCAGCCCTGGAGCATGCGGCTGGCTCCCTAAGCATTGAGCTACAGGTGCCCAACCTGTGTTGAGATTTCTAAACTCTTGAACTAATATATCAATATTTGTTGTTTATTTATTTAAGAGACAGAGGTTCTGTCACCCAGACTGGAGTGCTCAATCTCCTGTCTCAGCCTCCTGAATAGCTATGACTACAAGCTTGGTATATTTTTGTTTTGTTTTACTGGAGTATAAGGCCCCATGTTTTTGTGGCAGTTGTCTCCAATAATCTTAATAATTGCAGGCCTGTTTTAATGTCCATCACTGCAGCTCCCCAGTTAAAGATCTCTGATGACCAGCTGACTGTGGTTGGAGAGAAGGGTTACAGTATGGTGTGGGCCTCTCATGGGGTAAGGAAAGGTGCCTGGTACTTTGAAATCACCGTGGATGAGATGCCACCAGATACTGCTGCCAGACTGGGTTGCTCCCAGCCCTTAGGTAAGCTGGGGCTAGGGTGTTAGCATCATAGCAGGTGTGGTGGTATCAGCCATCTAGCTAAGTCTTTAAGATTATTTGGTTTATTAGACTGTGAGCATAAAATTCAGTTCCCAAGGGTTAAATTTGTTTGCAGTCCTTGGAATATTTTTGCAATTCTTTGCTCGTAAGAAACCATTTGTAAGCAACTTTACAAATGGACAATAAATAAATAAGGAGTAGAATCTTTTTTCCTTCAGCAAACCAGAATTGCCTTGTATTCATGACTTCCTCTATATCTTTTTATTGGGACAGGTAATCTTCAAGGTCCCTTAGGTTATGATAAATTTAGCTATTCCTGGTGGAGCAAAAAGGAAACCAAGTTCCACCAGTCCATTGGGAAACACTACTCTTCTGGCTATGGACAAGTAGACATCCTGGGATTTTATATTAACTTTCCTGAAAACAGACACAGCCAAGTCATTGCCTGATACTTATAAACATAAGGTAGGTTGTTCCCCCTGCCACAACCTGGGGCAACTAGTCCCTGGAGCTGTGGTCTGTGTGTTCTCTTGTGATGCTGACCCCAGTTCACTTGTCTGTCTTCCTGATAGGTTATTACAAAAATTTCCAGATGGAACAGCAAGGTTGAAAGAATTTAAGAGCTGAATACTCATCACCAGATTCTACCATTTAAATGTTTCTTCCACTCATTCTTCACTTTTAAAAAATAGTCTATGGAGAAAATTAGCTTAAGTTCAAACTTGTCTAGGATTTTTCTTTGTTATAAAATGTATATAGTGTATATTTACTGGATTTTGAGTTTGACTTGCACTGTTGTAGACTCCTACCAGCCTGCCATCACCTCAGGATGCCCCTGCCCAGTTGGTCCCCAGCCCCAACCCCATAAAGGTAAATCACTCTTTTAACATTTTTCCCCACCATATATTAGTTTTTACCTAGTTTTTATTATTTTTTTTTATTTTTTGAGACGGTCTGACTTTGTCACCCCTGGTAGAGTGCTATGATGTCACAGCTCATAGCAACCTCAAACTCCCGGGCTTAAGCGATTCTCTTGCCTCAGCCTCCTGAGTAGTGAGGATGACAAGCACCCACTACAACACCTGCCTATATTTAGACACAAGGGTCTCGCTCTGGCTCAGGCTGGTCTCAAACCTGTTTTGTCAGGCAATCCACCCACCTCGGCCTCCTCAGTGCTGAGATTACAGGAATAATCTCACTGCAACTGGCCTCCTTTTACCTACTTTTGAATTTATATAAATGGAATCATGACGTGTGTAGTCTTTTGTCTCTGGTTTTTTCTGTTAAGCATAATGTTTTTGAGGTTCATCTGTGTTGCTGCATATGTATATAGCATCTTTTTGACACACAGTGGTATTCCCTTGTATAAGTATACCACGGTGTGCTTAATCATTTTCCTGTTACTGGCCACATGGGCTGTTTCAGGTGTGGGCTATTATGAATAAGATGCTGTTATGAAAAGATGTATGTAAGTCTTTTTGCCAACATATGTTTTTATTTACTAGGAGTCAGTATGTAGACATGAAGTTATTGGGTAAAATAGGGTAGTTAAACATTTGGTTTTATAAGAAATTATCAGATTGCATTCCACCAACAATGTGTAAGATTTTTAGTTGCTATCATTTATTATTTTCTGTCAACTTAGTTTTAGCCTTTTTGATGGATACATATGTAGTTTCTCATTGTTGGTTAAATGAGCATTTCTTGACTATGATATTGAGCATTTTTTCATGGGTTATTGGCCATTTATCCAT